GATTTTCTAGATGGAAGTTACTACAAATGCTATTAAGATGTGAGTTTGCCTCAGGAAATATCATAGGAGTGAGTATTTAATTTACCCTACCGGATGTGTTAACGTACCGAATACTCAGTACGTCCCCACATACTAGCCAATAATCATCATTCATGATGATGACATAATTAATGTCGAAATATAGAATCCCGACACGATGGCGTGCATTTCGATTCTTGGAGTATGTATCATACTATCTTATCAGGGGAAAATGTATTTTAAATTAGAAGAAATTGGTTGTATTAAAACTATAAAAACGGTTATGCAGTAACTTGAGTCATGAGAGAGTACAGTATTTCCTTGAAGGCCCTACTTATTTTACTAACGAATTAATAAAAAATGATCAGTTATGAAATGTTTGTGTAGGTCTACATAGTTCCGGTGCTCAAATTAAACATAGGCGCCTACATTGGAACTCAAATTGGCTTTATTAATAATATGTTTGCTTATGTACCTGTATTATCAACAAACACTCCCTGAAATCGTTTTAAAACAGCTTAAAATGCTCAATCGTCGGAGCGGCGAGGTAGGGGTTGTTCCCCAGCCGCTTGGACTCCCCAGCCAACTGGTATAAGCACTCACGCATTTCAAATCTCTCAAGTTGGTAACTATGTAATCTCACCTAAAAAATAGATAAAATGACAGTTGAATGACCAACAAAGACAACTGAAGACAAAAGTTCGTTATTAGAAGTTATTTAGTATAACTTTATTCCGAAAATTAATCTCAAACTGCCAAACAACTATTTTTGGCAGCGAAGGGACGCTACCAGTAAACAATCAACAAACTACCGGGTTTCTGGGTTGACTTGCACGGTACTACATGGCTCAAATATTTTTTACTTGGTGGTTAATTGGTAAAATCGCACACAAATCATACGACGTCACTGACAATGCCCGGGACGGCAACTCGATTTCGAGACTAATTTTTCGAATAAATTTATACTAAATAACTTCTAATGACAAACTATTGTCGAAATTTGGGACGATCGAGACAACAATGTCCTAGTGGGTCCGCGAAATTTTTGTGTTCTAGACGCCCGAAAATAACATTTGAGGCGTTCTGGGCTATCATTTTTTTCCTTTTCTTTCTTTTTTTTCTTTCTTTTTTCTTTTTTTTACCTCCCAAAATCCGCCCCTGTCTAGATACGCCACTAACTTACGTAGCCAGATGAATGAAAATGCTCAATCGATGTGCCACTAAATCGTAACCAGCCTTCACCTTGCCCTCACGATGTTACCGGGGACGCAACTGCAAAAAAAAACTATTTTTGACAGTCAACAATCAACAAACTACCGGGTTTCTGGGTTGATTTGCAAGATACTAACATGGCTCAACTATTTTTAACTTAGGGGTTAATTGGCAGCGAAGGGACGCTACCAGTAAACAATCAACAAACTACCGGGTTTCTGGGTTGACTTGCACGGTACTACATGGCTCAAATATTTTTGACTTGGTGGTTAATTGGTAAAATCGCACACAAATCATACGACGTCACTGACAACGCTGGGGACGGCAACTCGATTTTGGGATTAATTTTTCGAATACATTTATACTAAATAACTTCTAATGACAAACTATTGTCTTCAGTTGTCTTTGTTGGTCATTCTACTGTCATTTTATCTATTTCTTCGGTGATGTTACCATTCTCAATAATCTATAAAACACCCACATAACACCGTCACGTTAGACCGATCGGTGGGGGCGCCGTGGTGACGCTTGTAGGGTCAATTTTTGTCGAAGGTATCAAGATGATAAACAGTTTCACTAGAATAAATTCTTGCTTATGTTAACCACATGTTTACCTAAGATTATGCTGACACTGGTTCCAAATCACGGTCAAGTAGTTAAAAATCACCTTAAATCACCTTATTTTGCGAATTAGTGCCCCTCAACTGATCATCGAGACCCCCATCTAGATACGCCACTGACTTACATGGCTAGGTGAATGAAAATACTCAATCGATGTGCCACCAAATCGTAACCAGCCTTCACCAGCCCTTACGATGTCACCGGGGACGCAACTGCCAAAAAACTATTTTTACAAACAATCAACAAACTACCGAGTTCCTGGATTGATTGGCAAGGTACTACATTTTTTCGGTGATATTACCATTGTCAATAATCTATAAAACACCCACATAACAACGTCACGTTAGATCGATCGGTGGGGACGCCGTGGTGACTCCGGTAGGGTCAATTTTTGTCGAAGGTATCATTAGTTTCATTAGACTAAATTCTTGCTTATGTTAACCACATGTTTACCTATCGTGATGTATTCCAAGCATCATGAGGCTATCCAAACGAGCATTTGTCATAACAGAACGCAAATTATTTTTAATGAGTCTCATTAAACTATTATTATTATTATTATTATTATTATTATTATTATTATTATTATTATTATTATTATTATTATTATTATTATTATTATTATTATTATTATTATTATTATTATTATTATTTCTGCTTTACCCTGGGTGACCTGATAGGTGCAAAAAACATTTTTATCCTCAAGGGCCCAGTAACACATACAATAAAAACCTTAAATGACAAACTTGTCTGTATTATATTTATAATATTTTAGGTTGTGAAGGGTTATCTCGAGACAAGTTTTATTCAAAATGTCTAGAAAGAATCCGAATCAAATTGAATTTCATCTGTATATTTCCATTGACTTAAAACTGTATTGTTATGTTATTATTTATTGATTTGATTAAATAAATATTGTTGAAAAATGCTGAAAATTTTCCTTTCAATTAAAGACCTACTATAAAATAATAGTGATGTGAATGCACTTTTTTTTTAGCTCCGATAAGGAGCTCTAGAAACACTCGGCTGATTAATAGATCTGTTATAGTTCTACTGCCTCTATTATACTGCCCTCGTGGAGGCTGGTTGATTAATAGACTTTTTTTAGCGCTACTGATTCTATTGTACTGCCTTCATCGTAGCCTCGTTCATCCTGCCTTCAGATTGGTATAAACTGAATCACCTTACTTTATCATTATATTTTTGCTCTACATAAGCTTAGTGTTCAGACGTGATTCCACTTGATAATGATGGTTGATGCTGTTAAAACATGTCGTGGTTTAAATTGATTATTTGTAATAAATACATTGCTGCCTTTGTATTATATTAGACAATGCACACATTAGATGATGTTTTGTGTGTGTTTTGTGAACGAATAACTATTTTATTAGAGATTTGATTTCATATTTAAAACTGTTTCTTAATATCCTAATTTTCCTCTAAATAGAGATATTTAAAGACAACTAAATTTATGTTATACCTCCATGCTAAAACCCAAAAGTGGTTTTTAACCAGTATTTGAAATTAATTACCAAATATGTTATATTCATTTGTTTTAAAACGACACAAATTCATTATCCAGGAATATTTTTTACCGTTTATGTAAATCATCTGACAAGTTTGGATACAAGGAGAGGGAGCAGTGGCGGGCGCGTCAGCCAGTGGCGGCTCTAGGATATATTTTCTGGGGTGCACAGGACTGATGTTGTTTATAGAGCATGTCTTAAACATGTATTATGGTCATAATGTTAGATTGCCGGGTTTTTAGCACTGAGCTGTAAACAAGCAATAGACAGGATAATTATTTCCTGCTCTGGTAATGTGAATGCACGCGCATATAGTTGTGCATTGGTTAAAGAATAGAGTATGCATTTATTTATGATAAAAACCTAAGGTTTCCCATAAAGAAAGATGCAATAACTAATACTATAGGCCAGTTAAGTTTGTACCTCGCAGTTAATTGGTTATATTGTATGTTATGTTTTTACACGATGTTGTGCTATGGTAATCATAGGCTAATGACTTTTATTATTCTTTTTAGCTTGGCATATTGTGCATACAGTGCCTGGTCAAGCTGGGGGTTTTGTTTTGTTTTGTAACAAAGTAATCGTCAGTTTCTGGATTATGGTTTTTTTGGCGTTTTCGAACAAATAAACGACAACAGAGAAGTTACATCGTCTCCTGGCTATGTTGTTGTTCTACCTGTGTTACATATATGTATGTAGGCCTTTAATTGCAAGTTCACAATAATAAAAACTCATAACATTTTTATCCCATCTAAATACAATATGCCATTGAATACACACCAATATCTACAATGATACCAAATTAAAAATGATTACTCTTATTTCGTAATGAGCATTATGATTATTGTTTATCTATTTGTTTATATTGCGCGTAGCAAACTTAATAATAATATTATATAGTATATATGTATATATGTATATGTATATAGGTCTATGTATATGTAATATAAATCAAGCCGACCGTTAACACTGTTAAATTATATATAAATCATCAAAGAAAGGTAAATACATTGTTCGAATAAAGGACATGATAATACATCGTGTAGCATAGCTCTCAACGAATGTAGTCCTGTAAATAAATGAATAAAGAAATTGTGTAATAAAATTCTTCTGGCGGGACTCGAACCTGCGACCTCACGCTGTCAAGGCGAGTGTCATAACCATTAGATAACGGAGGCTTCATGGTTGAACAGATTCAAATACCACCAGATACACTCTAGTACACAATAGATACGGCTGGAAACAAATAGTTGCATATAATATAAATCAAGAATATTTAATTACAAGTTCACAATAATAAAATACCCATAGCGTATTATACCATGTATATTTCCATTCAATCTAAATACACCTAAATTTAATTTAATATACAACCATTTCTACAGCGATACCTAAGCTATAAACGTTATATTGATCTTATTTTCCAGTGTTTTTTATATGTAGTAGGATGTATAACATATCATATAATAAAACATTCTAGATGTACGTAGTACAGTAGACTATCCGAAGTGTCTTTTATCTTTTGACAGCGCCACCAATGAGTGAATTACTTTGAAAGAGTAAAAAAACAAGAAATGAAAAAAAAAACAAAAAAAAAACGCACATAAATAAAAAAAAAAAAAAAAAAAAAAAAAAAAAAAAAGCACTTAAATAGTTGGGACAACAATTTAATTTAGTTTGGCACGTACTTAGCGCCAAAAAGAAAAAAAATAGGAGGAATTAACAGAGTAAACAAAAAATGTATGCCCGAACTAAGGCTAGCAATGTGAATGTGTTAACAACATTTAAAGAAAGTATAAGGTCATTAATTGAATTATATTAGACTAATGATATTCTTTGATATTTGGTAATACTCTAAATAATCAGATACAAATTCATTACAAACTCATATGGATGCATGTGATTATTATATTGGTTTATGTCACAAATGTATTTAGCTTTTCGAGGGCCACCGTAGTTGATTTTGTGTCCGGATGATCACTGCCAAGGAAAAGGTCGAATATTCGCAGAGCTTCATCAAACTGATAGCGAGCTCTCTCGTAGAGGTTTGTGGCGAAAAGAAAGGCTCCTAGGTTGTACCTGAAAGTATGCAGATTACAAACAAAAATATGTTAGAACGTACCATTTTGTGCTGGTATAAATAAATATACAAACTAACGGTTCCATAGGTGATTCTCAACTGGTTGGTTAAATTTCTGTACAAAAAAGTTTTAAATTATAGTTTTTAAATATCTATTACTTTAGTTGTTCAGTGCGGCCTGTCTGGTATATATTCCACTGAAAGCAATATTTATTTTATATTAATATTGAAAGCTTAAAATTTACTCATCATTTTTTTTTATTATTAAGCCTATGTGTTTTTAATTTTCTGTTTTAAGAATTTCCCAAACAATGGAATTCAACGAATTAGATTAGAATTTTACTAAAAAGATTGACGGCATTTTATCACCATATTAAATGTTTTAGTGAAAAAAAATGAAATATAAATCAAACGGCCTACGCAAATTTACCTGATAACAGCAACGTCAACATGGTTTTGCCCATAAGCTTGTATCAATATATCCAAAACTCCTTTGAATAAATCACCTGCTATTTTGTCATTCTTATCATCGTAAACAAGAGCAATATTGTTTAAGATGGCGGCCACACGTGGATGACTCAAGCCCACTTCGTTCTGAGTTAGCTGCATATCCCACAGGTGATGAATTAATGCGTCGTCAAGTCGCCCTTGCCCATACGATAGTTCTCCGATCTATAGAAATACAACACACATGCCGATATAAATTTATATTTTTAAGGCCTGGTCCAATATCAACGCTACACACCATCACCGACAGTTTGGTCACGCTGATTGGCCGGTCGAACTTTGCTTTATAACGAACCGAGAAATAATATAGGGGACAATTGTGTGACAATTTTATAGAAAGCAGGCTTAAAACAAAATGAAATAAAAAGATAAAAAACGCAATTATACCCAACTGCGGATAAATTTATATTCCAGTCAATTAATCGAATACAATGTCGAAATTTATCAAGTGATAGCCCTCAGTGAAGGCTGGGTATTAAATCTGTTACCACTATTATGCACATAATTATCAGAGCTGTTACGTAGGTACAGTTCGTGAGAATAAATTACCTGCCCGACGATTGCTGCAACGTAATGGTGGTTCTTTCCGAGAATGTCTGTTGCTATCTCTTGAGCTCGGTTCAGGCACCACTTAGCCTCTTCCGCGCGTCCTTGAAGTCGAAGAACTGACCTATCGGAAGAAATGATGATGAAAATGATTATGATAATGATGATGATGATGAGGATGATGATGATGATGTTGGCGGGGATTATACGAAGATGAATGACGATGTCGAGAAAGAATGATGAGGTTTAAGAATAATGGTGATAATAATACCAAGAGCCATCTTTTCCTATGAATTTTGTATAATTATATAATTTCTACATAAAAATCCAATTATTTATACAAAATGAAAAGTATATCTATGTAAAGTTACCCCATTCCAAGAAGAGCTTTAACCAGTTGCAGTTTCTGGGCAGGTGTGCGAATCTTGTTCATCCGGCTGATGACGTCAAAAAGGTAATTTTTGGCGTCGTTAAGTTCACCAAGGTTACGACAAACTGATCCAAGTTGTATAATCACCTAAAAAAAAATAAATAAACACAACAACATAGATAGTCATATAAAATTGTTTTCATAAACTACAGATTGGACGTGATACGGTGAATAAATTTTGTTCATTTAGACCGGTCTGGTACATAGGCCCTACAGGGCAAATACCAAAACAAAAACACCAATGATGCAGGAGGGATTCATGCAGGAATCTCGGTTAAGACACAATTGGTGAGCAAACGCTAAAACGCAAATCGTCATAGAGAGAAACAGAGATGATTGGGTGATATTCATCTCACCCATTTGAATCGCAAACATAATAGCATCAAAATCTATCAGTAACACACAATATTGTTTAATTTTGTAGCAAATTTTACCATATGTCGGTAAAAAACAAAAGGTAACGAGTACTTTCGGTCATAGGCCAATATGTCACTGGTAAGGCGAATGTCATACCATTTAATGACCCACATGGGCAATGGATTCATTTCCGGCCAGGGACACTTTTTAAAATAATTGACAAAAGGAAATTCTGTTGATAGGCTATGCTCGATACGATCTCTACACCATTGTTCCTTTATTCGACCATTGTTCATACTGTACCAATATTTGAGTATCTGTATGTGTATACCACCGTGCTATGCAGCAAGTTAGTTATTAGGCTATGTTATGTTTAGGAGGTGATTGCTTACATCTAATACTTCTTGGTGTATACATTGTCGTTTAAACATGTATTTCTTGTAGTGGTACACAATAGTTGAGTAATCCTCTTCGTATTTGGATTCTAATACATCGAGTAGGCTTTCATATAGTGATCTGTAGAGAAAATTTAGATATAACTTCAGTTATGTTTCTTAAGAAGTCAATGTTGGCCTCCTAACAACAACAGCAGCAATATCAGCAACAGTAGTATTAGCAACAGCAGCAGCAACAAGAACAATAATAATAGATAAAAATTAATTTCGCTTATGATATTATTAAATAAAAAGGAAGGCGGTTTGAACATTGCATTGCATTGCTCTGGTTTAGGCCTACAACCGGTAATCAAGAGTCAGATGTTTACTGGAGGTGCTTTTTACATACTAATGCACTTTTAAAATTTTTGAATAAATCCACTAATGCAATATATTAACGTGTCTCTAACCTGGCACCTTTTTGAAGGCCTAACTGCATAAAGAATCCCGCCATCGATCTGATCAAGCTTGCTCTGTCTCGCGTGTTCTCCTGTGTTTCGGCCTTTTCCAATTTATCAAGGTAGGCTTCCTCTACCTGTTCGTATCCTCCGAGCTGCAAATGATATTACACAGTTCAAGATTATTTTCACTTGTCATAATAATAGCATTATAGCGACGATAAAAAAACCCTTAAATACCATGATAGAAAAACATAATGTCATTACGACCAAACGGCAAAGCCAAACAAACATTTGAAAATGCTTCGTAGCTCTTGGCTCCGCAGCAAAATACCGCTCAGATTATAAATAAAAACCAGTTGTAGTGTGTAAACAAAATATTATTACCGCGATCAATTATCATGAAAGTGATTTTTTTTTTTCGTTTTAGAATCCGAATTTATATGGCGCCTTTCACATTCCGGAGAATATACAAAGGCGATGACATCAGTATTTCCCTGTTCACTGGATACTTAGTTGGCGAAGCAGCACATTTTTGTGCAAGTTTCTTCACTGCCTGAGGAGTTTCCTCAGTCATGCTGCTTTACACGCACAACCGCATACGTTCAACGCCACACCATCCTACAATGTATCTATTTACAATTATATGGGTGGAGAGAGGCAAACGTAAGAAAGTGCCTGCCCAAGGACGCGAGTGTCTATCTTGAACTCCAGATCTTACAATCAGAAGTCCAACACCTTACAAGCTGCGCCACACGCTCATACAGAAACAACAATAATTCAATTAGGTCAATATTATGGAAATGAAGAAAAGCAACATTTCTATTTGACTTTTAAAGACGTGAAACTATTCAAGAAATATTGTGTCACGAACTTTACAAAATTTCTGTTAAATTGCAGATATTTCAACACATATTAGAAAGCGATGCTCTACCACAATTATGCCATCAAAGGTAAACAAATGCAAGCTTACCAACTGCCAGGCCTTTATTAGCTCAAACTTTCCTTCTTCTGTTGCCATCAGTCGTTGAAAAACCGCGACGTTCAGAATGGTACCGCGTAGACGTTTCAACTCACCGGCTTGGGATAGAAGGTACGGTACCTCTTCCGTCTAGATAACAAATAACAACTTAATAAAGGTATTTTTGACAAATTATATTAGGTGTTATTAATATTTCATGCCTTTTTTTAACGGGCTGATAAATTTAATAAAATAAACAAAACGTACATAGCGATCATCGATGTCCTTCTTGTTAAAGAAATCCGCCACATCGACATAACACTGTCGCTTAAGTTCTGGCGTATTTAGATACTTTCGTTCAACAGCCTGCCTCAGGTGGTCGTGGAAAAAGTTAAGCACTCCGTTACGATTGATTAGATTTTCTTCCAGTGACAAGTAGAATGGAGACCAAATTCTTGACGAAACCTTAGTTCAATATAAAGAATGCATTCACGATTAGTCAATGATATGTTTTATAGAGACAATTTGAATACATTTCTCTTCAGGGATGAAATGTTCCAAGATATACAGAATATTTAGCACACAATAATTTACTTATACACAGTAAGTACAGAGTCAATTTAAAAATATAATTTAAATATGCATACTGAAATATGTTGTAGCCAACTACTCACACCTGAAGATTGTTACTGCATGAAAAAGCTATAGAGTAAATTCACGCTCAACATAACCCTTCTATTATTATTATTATTATTATTATTGGCTTTTCCCAGCAGTGCTGGAAAAAGCCTAGGCTTTTGTTCTGATTTTTTTTTTTCGTTTTTCTTGCATATATTTTTCCTATCTTTTTGCACTGTTTTTTTTTTCTGGCTGTCACCTTGGACACTTCCCATGCTTAGAATTATTCCGTGCTTTGAGGGGTGTACGTGTGAGGACAATTAAATTGATTGAAGGTTAAACAGTCTACACCGGATATTTAAAAAACCAGTTAGTTGATATGAAAGAAATTTACGGGAAACTTTAATCAAGTTACAAGGAAGAAATTGTTATGTGTTAGTGACGATCCAGTGAAGGGTGTAAAATTGAGGGTCTTTTCAATTTTGAGGACTCAGACCTAAATATCTCTTTAAAAAATAATATGAATATGAGAACCATTAAAGGGAACGTCCCAGACCAGATAATTCAAAAACGGGTCAACTGATCGGAATGAAACTTTCAGGAAAGTTTAACCCAAGTTGCAAGGCAGATTATTATTATGTGTAGGGGACGATCCAAGTAAGGGTGTAAATTTGAGGGTCATTTAAATTGCTTACGTCCCAGTTATAGATGGATAAAATTGACACTCTGTACAATAGTTTTTCATGGCGAAATGATGAAAAGATCCAATTTTGGTGACAATTCGCAGTAGGGTGTGGATATGAGGATTACTTAAAGATATTAAAATTATATTGGCTTTCCGTGTTTATTTTTACCTTATACCTTTTAACCACTTTTCTTTTTGTTGCAATTTCAACTTCATTTATCATTAAAGCAATGGGGAAAAGCCCTATGTTGTTCAAACAGACATAATAAGTCTAGTTATTATTATTATTATTATTATTATTATTATTATTATTATTATTATTATTATTATTATTATTTTATATATATATATATATATATATATACCTGTATATATATAAAACATAATATATGTAGATATATGTATATATACATAGGCCTATATATAATTTCGTATTATACAGTAATTAGTTATAATCCGGTAGCACTTGCCTTTCGTATGAACCACTTTCAAAATCAGTTTCCAAACGCTCAAGAATTTTAACAAACAATTCTCCTGGATCACCAGCCGTCAGGTACGATTTGATTGCACTCGTCAGTTGGAAAAATTCTCCATACATCCGAATCTAATAAATGAATTAATGAAAAATCAACTAATTAACATTTTTTTACATATTGTATATAAATATGGAAGCGGTTTGGCGTAGTGGGAATGGTGCGGTTTCCCAACCTAGAGGTTGTTGTTTCAATCCCTCCACTGTGCATTTCGCTATTGTACTTGAGCAAGACACTTTATTTGCATTGTTTCAGTATACACATCTGTGTCAATGGGTACCTGGGACGGATGCTGGATTTGGCGGTAGGGGGTGCACGAGAGTACACACGGCCTCAGCTCCAACATGGTTGGGGCTGAAGCTCGAAAATTTTAAGAAAATGGATTTCTATAGGTGCCTGGGAAATTGCACTCTCATACCTTAAAAATCTTACAGGTACTTTGTTCATGTCAACAATACAATGCAACATTTTTTTCTTAATACAATTTGGGGGCGGGGGAAGTGCAATCCCACCGTCTGAACCCCCTGCATCCGCTCTAGGGTACCAGCAAACCGTTGGGAGTGTAACCTGCGGTGGACTAGCGTCCCACACAGGAGGAGTATTACACTGTCATCCGCTTCACGCTACTTGAGACTGGAAATAAGCTCCAGTCCTATGGGCCCGAGTGGCTCGGCAAGGATTTACTTTATATCAATTTATAAAATTTCGTTTGTTGTTCTGACGGAGTTATAACTAAATGGTGGACATACCGTTTAAAGTGAACAGTCTATTGTTTGTCTATAACAATATTTATTATGTTGTTAGCATCTAAAATAAATACGTATATAGTGAGGTACGGATAAAAATGTATTTATCTCTATAATACAAATTTGAAGGATTAATATTTTCTTGTGCACGTACTAATAATTAACCCTTAACCCTTAAATTCGCTCATAATAGGCATGTTTTTAAACATTTTCTGTAGCAAAACATCTTTAAATTAAAGGAAGCTTAATATTTCTGCCATGTTTTTTTGTGGATTAACAGAATAGGCTAATAGGCCTGTGATCCTTAAAAAAATCCATCTTTTTAAATTTTAGACTCTTTAAGGTGTTTCCTTCTAGTTCACCACAGTGAATAAAGCTTAATGTACATACATTCAACTCAAAGCATAATAATGTATAAGTAAATCAAATTTTATAAAACCAGTGCAACATTTGAAATAACAAAGAGGATTTTTGTTTACTTTTTACAAGACATAAATAATTTCTTATAAATTGCATTATTTATTCATTTTATAAGAAAGTATAATACATACTCCAAGTATTGAAATACACGCCATCGTGTTGGGATTCAATATTTCGACATTAATTATGTCATCATCATGATGACATAATTAATGTCGAAATATTGAATGATGACATAATTAATGTCGAAATATTGAATCCCAACACGATGGCGTGTATTTCAATACTTGGAGTATGTATTATACTTTCTTATCTGAGATTAATCAGTGGACCTTTCGGTATTCATTTTATTGTAGGTGATTTTGAAGGAATTTTATTTTAATTTTTTAATTTATGTGTTCAACTATTCACATGAAAGCTAACGTTGCTGAGTAGAAATTCTTGACAGAAAGAAAGAAGTTTGTGTTGTTATGGATATATTTTATATAGATTCTTAAATACTAAAGTGCTTTTGATAATTGTAAATTTAATGAATGAACAATAATTTTAAATAAATTGTTTATAATTGTAGGTAATTTGTTATTGTTTAATTTTAATCTCGTAATTAACTTAAATTTATTTGTTTTATACTTGAATTGTAATAAAATAAAATATTTTTTTTATAATCAGAATTATCAATTATTTTTTTAAATTTTTTTGTAAATTTTATTGTGATTTGGACTTTTTGAAGGTCTTTTGAATTTGTGTATTTTTATTGTAAATTGTAATTTAAATATATTTTAAATTGAATTAGTGAGCTTTTATTTTTAGTGGTTAGGGTTAGTGCAATTTTCAATGTTTTCTTTCTTCTTGAGGACCTCAATGGGAATAAGTTTATTTTTAAACTTTCTTGGGTTTACTCCTCAGTTTATTCAGTTGATGATATTGTTACTTTGTACTTTAATTTTTTACTTATTTTGTTCTTATCTCTCGGAATGAACTGAATAAATTGAAATGAAATGAAATGAAAGATACAAGAATAATAATAATACTAAGAATGTGTTTTTAAATCTACCTCGTCCATCAGTGACTTAAGGTACAGTGGGTTACTGGTCTGGTTTGCCTGTATTATCATCTCCATTTGTTCCTCGCTAAGTGTCTTAGCGTAGAGCGTCATGTATTCCGTAATTATCTGCTTTTTCTCACTCGATTGCAGCGGAAATATCTCAAATGTTGGCCATTCATTCATCAACACCGCATCATACGCCTAAACGCCAAATGCAATAAAAATATTAACATGCCTAAAATATTTAATCTATAACAAACAAAATAGGCCCTAAAGATGATAGTGATATTTATTTAATTTTTTATTTCACTAATGTCTAAAATTTATAATATTAAATATTCTTTTGTTAACATTTCTTAACAACAAAATGGAGGCTTTCTGTTGTAGATTAAGTTACACATGTACACGATATTGAGAGAATGTTACGGGGTAACCGTTACGTCATAACAGTGTATACACTCACAAACATTTTTATGATGAAATTTGTCTACTTGGTAATTTAAAAATATAATAAATATGAATCATACGATATAATGAATTCATGATTACTTTTTTAATTATTCCGAATTACGTCATCAAATATTGTATTATGATGTAACCTATAACATTTAGTTTCCGAAGAATTATACTATTTAAATTTAAAAACACAATAAAGCTGAAACAATTTAATGTTGAAACAAATTAATCTTTTACAAAATGTATTTTACTTGAATCTTATGTTCAAGTACAAATTATAACTAACCTTCCCAGGTAGTGTTGACAGGACCATTTTAACCCCCTCTGGAAGCTTTTTTGGAAGCCATTTTAACTCCTGTTCGTCACCTTAGAAGATAAAACACTAAAGCTTTTAAAATTCTGTTAACAATAATAACACATTACCTTTGCGCCAGTATCCGTCCGTGCAGATGACCACGGCGCATAATCTTTCATTTTTAATAATACAATTCAAAGTTACAAAAATATATGAAACGTTACATATTGTTGTATGTGCCTGACCTCCTCCTAGCAAATGCTCTGCAAGCGCTAGAACTAAAACACGCCTTACCTTTTGTCCCAGCTCCGGTGTCTAACTGATTCAAAGCGTCCAAGACAAGCATTACTTTACCGCTATTTCCTGCTTGTTTGAGCCATGACGGCAAATCTAAAACCAAGTTACGATCGGATGAAGGAACTGGTTGCGGAAAATTGAAAAACTGCTTCATTTCTTCATATAATCTGTAATTGTTTTTTTAAAATATAATAAGAAATGATTAAAAAAAAATACATACTTTCTATAGGCCAAGATATGTTTATGAGCTTAAAAAGTACGATATAAGAAATAACATAAAAAACAGCCAGTCAATAATTCTGTAAGTCAGTTAGTCAGTTAGGACAGTCAGTCAATCATTCAGATCATTCATCGAGTAACCCTACCGTCGGAGGAGGTTTAAGTGCGAAGCACTTTCTGCAGAGCTGCCGATGAAATGCATGAACACGAAATGATTTGGGTTATTTTCTTCGTATCTTGTGCACCAGTTAGCGATCAATGCCGATTTTCCCGAACCAGATCTACCAAGAATGACGAACGGCTCATCAGTATCCTTGCTAACATGGTCGTCGATCGCCTTAAAGTAGTCCTCTCGACCAATGTAGATTCGGCAACGAACTTCAGCAAATGCTACATGAGCTTCTCGTTCACGCTGGAGGGCTGTAAGCTCGGTCCCCGGGGGGAAATCCTCGTCAATACATCTTGTGAGATCCTATTTAGTAAAAATTTAAAATGACACACGTGTTATATTGTGCTTTAATGATGGAAGAAATCAACTTAAATTAATCAGAATGTTTGGGTAATTAACATTTATATGATAATTTGCTACTTCCAGTGAATTGTAACATGCATGTTGTGCTAATTATGAAAAGCATTTTAATTAGAAAGACGAGTATAACAGTATCATAGTAGAACAGTATCATAATGACCGGTTGTAGAAGCATGCATATATTTTTTAGGGGTTTAGTAGTTATTCTAAAATAAGAATTATTTTAATTAAATATTTTTTAAAGAAATTAGTAAATAATTTTACTAGAAAATGACCATTATTTTATTATAATAGCAAAAAATCAATTACATAATCCTCTTTGTTAATGCAACCATCATTATCATCATCATCAACATTGTTATCTTTTTTATCATCACCCTCTTAAAGATGATAATCCTCATCCAAATCATCATCCTCGTCATCATCTTACCCCAAGAATTTTATTGTGCGCTTCGTCAGCCCCTTTGAATTTTCTGACATTCATTCCAGACTCTTCTACAATCTTACGGAATTTCTGCTGTTGTTCAAAATGCCAAAGAGACTCAAGCGCTTTTTTCTTGCTGTCATTTTTAGATTTTTTGTCCTCTTTGTTTTTGTTATCCTCTTCTGGTTTATCGCTGTCTTTCTTATTCTCTTCCTCTACTTTCTTCTCTTTGCTTTTTCCCTCTCTTTCATTTGCCTCCTTTTCTTTTCTGATCAAGTCATTTTGCTATGTTGAGTAACAAAATATTATTGTTCCGAGTTTTATAAGATAAATCAAGTGGTGCAACTTTATTTTTCATCAACAAAAGTAAAAGTTGATATAATGCTTGGATATTCATTGTTTTTTTTTAATGGTCTAACAATTATTAACATTTTTGGGGACATAATCTACTTCCTATGCACGAGTTTATAACATTAAAAAGCATCCTTGGTGTAGGCCTACATTCTCTTACTGTACTAAAAAATCCCTGTGAGAATAATCAGTGGGTTGAGGTTAAGCCTTAATTTTGGGTTCTTCATTGAAAATTAAGTCTAAATTGTAAAGTAATATAATCTTGATTTGGACACGTTCAAAGTGAAGAAATTAAGACATAATAATTATTTGTGAAGTCACAAATAAAGTTTAACTCAAACTTACAATTTCTTTCATTATCTCTATATCTTCTTCTTCTAATTGGTGATCCCGTATGTAGAAGAAAGCACGTTCTTTTGAATATTCCTTATTCCTGAGGGCGCCATACAATGCTTCCAACTGAAATTGAATTAATATCACTGAGGCAATTCTTTATATTAATTTTGTATAGTAAACAGTATTTTTTTTAAGGGGGGGGGGGGGGGGGGGGACTCGGCTAAATCATCATCATCATCAACGTCATCACTATCACTAACATCGTCATATCACTACCATCACCACCACTATTATCTTCATCATCATCATAGTACAGTGTTTTAAATAGGCCTTAGTTTAATCTGAACCATTTCAATTGGAGTTCAGAATATTAATCTTGAATAAACTTAATGTTTTACATTAATGCTTTAATTTTACCTTGTTATTGTCTCTGTAAAGTCGAATTACAAGCCTTTTGATAGTCTATTTTATCTATATATGGAACTAATAATACATAGTTATCTCCCGTTTTCTACCTATGACATGCGGCGTCCCCCAAGAAACACTGCTTGGCCCCCTATTATTTTCCTTATACTTAAATGATATTTGTACGTCCTCCACATTATTTTCGTTCTTCCTTATGCTGACGCTACTACAATCCTATATTCTAACAAAGTATTCATGCTCTTTTTGAGGTTACTAATCGTGAACTAACTAAAGTGTGTGATTATTTTTTCCGCCAACTTTCTCTTAATATTTAGAAATGCTGTTCTATTCTGTTTAGAATCCCCCACAAACATTTTAATTTGGATTTTAGACAGACTAATAATATTAATAATCATATTATCCCACTCGTCAAAAATACGAAATCGCTTGGCATTACCATTGATTTCGCTCTCAATATTGAAATTAAAATTTACAAGAACATTGGCATCATTTTTAGACTTTCTTTGTTTCTCCCTCTCGAAATTCTTCGCACATTGTGTTGTATTCTTACCCTCCCCTACTTAAATTATTGCAATGTGGTTTGGTGCAACGCATACGAATCAAACACAGCTAAATTGTTTACCAAACAGAAGAAAGCTGTTCGAATAATATTTGATGCACCATTACGAGCTCATACTGACCCATTATTTTCCTCTTTAAACTTACTAAATGTAAATAACTATCAACAGTGCATTTTTTATATTCATCCATTAACTCGTTAAACCCACCTCAATTTTCTAAGTCTTTCCGACCAAACTCATCCTTCCACAGTTATAGTACTCGTATGTGAATGATATGCATAATTCCCTCCATAAAAAACATCTTTTCAATATAATATAAGATTTAGTGGATCTTTTATATTACTATTTTTACTATTATATGTAAAAGAATCTGTCTCCAAGAAAATCTTCTCAGTTAAACTTAAAAATATTTTATATCTACTTACTGGATTAAATTTTTATTATAAGTTATTTAACTCGCTTATTCCTTTTAAATTTTTAATTAATTAATTAAATTATTTCTTGTTTTTGCCATTTTGTCCAGGCATGCATGGCCCCACAAGCTGTTGCTTTTTTTCCTTCTTCAAATCATTTACCGTCATTTACATTGTACTATGTTTTCTCACTTCGAAGAAAATAAATGTTACTTTGATTGACTGATTGAATGTCTTTATCAACATAATAGTCATCGTCATTATTATTATTATTATTATTATTATTATTATTATTATTATTATTATTATTATTATTAATTACTATTATTATCATTCATTTTATTAGATGTAGCTTACCCGTGTTACACTTGTGTCGAATCTGAAAGAATCGATCCAATCAAATCGGCTGTGATTAGCAATGGCAACATCGTAAGTTTTGTTAAGAAGTGTATCGGGGAGCGATTCTTTCTGACACCATCCATATCGGTCACCAAGAAGGCAGATAAAGTATGGACGACACTTATCAATCTAACAAAAGAATGAAACATTCCTTCATTTCGTAAACATAACAATCTATTTGATTAGCCTTTTCATGTTTTTTTTTTTTTTTTTTTTCACCTGAGCCACCACGATGAAACATAAAAAATGAAACAACACTAAATTGATTAGTATTTTATTCTAAGAATTTCCCGCAAATCGCGAAAACATTGCCATGTAAACAATCGCCTATGAAAGGAAATCCGCTAAAGCTACACTATGACAGCCAATAACATTTCATTTAGCTTGTGATGTCACAAGTTGACTATGTGTACTAACTGGAACCTCTGGCCACGTTTTTTTAGTTAAAATTCAGCATTGTCCGAATGACATCTGAAACTTTGGAATTTTGTTATGCAGTACGCATATGTTCTTTACGGTAATCCTTTTTTCTTTAAATGTCACCTTATCACCAACTAAAACAAACAAGCATCAAGCATTTAGTTATATAAGCCAAAATCAAGCATGGACTTTGTCACTCACCTCTTGCAAACAGATAGAGATCGTCTGACCATCAATGGACTGTTCTTGCGTTATCCCCCATCTAAGATCTACATATGTAAAGCAGATACCACGATCTGTACAGATGCGATTTAATTCACGGAACGCCTTCTTTATAAGAACCTCACGTTCTTCCTGGAAATCACGAAATGTACTTGAAACAAAAACTCGCACCTCTCGTCGTTTTTTTCGTCGTCGATTTACAGGCTTTGATATTGGAAGTGGCAGTGCCTTATTGAAATCTACCGGTATTACTTCTCCCTCTGATTAAACAAGTATAAGAGGTTTCAGAATTTGAAAAATAAAACAATGTAAGCGTATTAATTTAATGAGATTATAATTAGCCGTGTGATACACATAGGCAAAATTCTGTAAATAATAATAATATACCTTCATCTTGTTGAATTTCGTTCAAACTTTCCGTATGCTCTTCTAGTAAACCTCGAATAATATGGCCAATACTTTGTTTTCCTGCCTCTGCACTAATGACATCTTCATATGCGTCACCGGCGGCGGCAGTGACCTCACTTTTTACTCGCAAGCACGCAGCAGACACCTGTGCTCCAAAAGCTCCCGCCCATCCTTTATCGTCACTTGCTGTATTATTAATAATAATATACATTACCCATTGCATTATTTAATATTTTCAATCTGATTAATCAAATTATTAACATTGTTTGGTTGTATTAAAAAGTCCTATCTATTCTTTCTAAATGAAAAAAAAATTGAACCCCAATATAATGAATATTAATACATCCTTATCATTATATTTATCATCATTAATAGAATAAGCAGCAGCAACACAATCAGTAGCAGTAGTATTAGCATAATATCAGTAGTAAACATCACAGTTCCGACTTTATTCCTTCTATTGCCTCATTATTAGAATACTGGGCCATTTCCAATGGTTCGAATTTTTCCCTCACAAAGCAAAATTTCAAACATTGATTTTCGTACAGTTACGGCTATATTTCATCCACTATTTCTCAATGATATAATTATTGAAGTTTTAACCCTGTCATGTACTTGGGAATAATTATATAAAATTATCTCAAATGGCATTCACAAATATCCTCCATTATACAAATCAACTGTCCGCAAAATCTCAGTACTTAAATATTTAAAATCCACACTTGACACTACCAGCTTAGTTCGTTTTACAAATCTAATATCCATCTGTCTATTGAATTTTTCTGTTCACACGGCTTTCTTCTAAAATATATGTCCTTTTTTTCGTCATCTTGAACTTCTCTTTGCTAAATTAATTTCTAACGACTGCATTTCCTCAATTCTTCCTTTCTGTTTATTTACAATATAACATCACACCTTTTGAAAAAAGACAAAAGAACTTTCTTCTTCCTAAATTTATCTGCAAAATTTTCCAATCTTCTGATCATCCGCTTAACTTTTTCCTTCCACCTGTCAGAACAATGGCTATGTCTCTTCATAAAAACCATATCGATCATCTCATCTTCGATTCAATGCAAAAACGATTCCAAAGCTTTCCCTTCCTTATTCATCCCCATGTTATAATCTAAACATTGATTCAGTCTATGCAACGACTTTTGATATTAAAGCAAGCCATAATTTAATTTTCAAAATAAATCAATTGGTCCATTAATTGAAAATTCCTTTATACCAATAATTGTTTTATTCTTTTGTTTGTGTATATAACCATTATAAATAATTACTGTATTGTTGATGCGGATAAATGCCCTTGATGGCATTCGTAGCTAATAAAATTGAATTGAATTGAAATAGTAGAGCCAGTTAGTAGTAATATAGTAGTAGTGAGTAGTAGTAGTAGCAGTAGTTGTAGTAGTAATAGTAGTAGTAGCAGTAGCAGTAGCAGTAGTAGTAGTAGTAGTAGTAGCAGTAGCAGTAGCAGTAGCAGTAGCAGTGTAGTAGTAGTAGTAGTAGTAGTAGCAGTAGCAGTAGCGGTAGCGGCAGCGGCAGAGGCAGCGGCAGCGGTAGCGGTAGCGGTAGTGGTAGCGGTAGTGGTAGTAGTAGTAGTAGTAGTGGTGGTGGTAGTAGTAGTGGTATAGTAGTATTAGCAGGATGATGGTGGTGGTGGTAGTTAGTAGTTTTAATAGGAAGCACTTCGTTTTATTTATAGCCATGCACATGCACATTTTTATGCTCACCGGTTGTTTCAAATGAGAGGAAGCGAAGACCTTTTCGATAATTCTTAAATGTAAAATCTTCACGAATCCATTCCTTTAGCCCAACTTCTATACTCCCCTTTTCACCTGTAGATTTTCGGACTATTTCCTCACCCTCAGCGTCCAGTAGTGTAACCGTTAACGAGTAGTAGCCACCTTCACAACATCCACGGCGGAAAAATTCGGTCGCCTTTTGGAGAAAACATCAGCAGAACGGTAAACCTTAAGACCCGCATCCCTTCGTAGGTTAAAGATCAACAAAATGCTGTCTAATAATATATAGTAGAGCTTTAAGTTGATTTGTAGTTGGCACTACTAATAATGCAGCTTCTCACTCTTACATTTTACCCATATCTCACACTACCTCGACCGTTGTAAAGTGACCAAGAATACATGGAAACCAAAATGTGGCATAATGTTAATGTGGTACACCGCTAACATTTAGAGTCGAGGTAAACTCTGTTGAGGAAAATATTGAATTATTTTCTGGTCTTCTAAAAGAAGTAACATATTTATGCCTCACACTCAACCTTGATTCTGATGTGGTTAATGTGGACTAAGATTCTGATGAGGTTAATGTGGACTAAGTGTCGGAGAACATGCAGTGTATAGTAAACACAAACCGTCATTGGTTTACAGGGACCAAGGGAAAAAGGAATATCTGGACACCAAATATGTGGCATACTGTGAGTATGGTACTAAACCGCTAACATAGGCCTAACATATTTCCTTGATATGATACGGTACCTTTACACTGTTCCTCGGATTGAGCTTATTATCAATCAGTACTTAGATACTATATTTTCTCTCTGATATACAGTATCAAAACACATACGATTTTAGTTGTGGTTTTGGTTTGAAAACGTAACACGATTTAAAGCGTAGAGAATATAGGCTATGTACGTGAAATTACAATGTTTACCTGTATCTCTGGACTGGAATCTAAATGCTTTTCCGAAAATTGAGTAAGAAGGTTAATTTCTTGACTCTTGTAGCAAGTCATGTGTGAGGAAACAAACTCTATAAGATAGGGGAAAGTTTATGGTTTTAGTAAATAGAATTTAAAATGGCGCACTTAATTAATTTTACATTGCTTTATTTAGATAAACTCACTGGTCTCGGTGTTGTGTCCTCCTCCTTGAATCGCCCAATCGCCGCTATAATTCCAACCAGACATATCACCATTCTGAAAAATTTACAAGAAGTATTAGTGATATTTTATATTTTGATTAGCTAAATCCATTATAATTTTTGTTAATATAATCAGCTTCTAAAGCCCCTTTGATTGATGTATGGAACAATATTAATAATAATAACAATAACAATAACAATAACAATAACAATAATGATAATGATAATGAATTTATTATTATTATTATTATTATTATTATTATTATTATTATTATTATTATTATTATTATTATTATATAGTCCCCAATACGCCACAAAGATAAAGTACGGTACGCTAACAGCGCTTATGTATTTAAAAACAAGAGTTCACAAAAGCTTCCACAGAAAACACTTTACATGAAGAGGGCACCTCAAACTATCAAGGCATTTTCACTGATGCAGTTGTTTTTCAATACTATTTTCGATAGGCCTATTTATATTATGAGCTAAAGCCTGTCAATTAACTGACCTTGACCTCCAATAAATGTTTTACATAAGGCCATGTAAAATAAAATAATTGGTTAGCATCCTTTTCCTACCATCAAAGAGGCCACCGACCCGACTTTTTTTACACAACACTCACAAACTCCATGTATTATAGGTTTGTTTACTACCCATTCCCACGATAGCTAGACCACTCACAGTTCTATGCTCTACTGTTGTTCAATACTGTAGCCACATGGCCTCCATGATGCTTGTTGTGTTGGAGTGAATTGTGCGCAATTATATATACATTATTGCATTATGGCAGTTATTCATAGGTAAAGTTTCTGCGTTCTATACATGAATTACATAATTTCTTGTATGCAATTTTGGTTTCTGTTATTTTCTTTTTCTTTGTTTTGCTGTTTTTCCTTGCGACACTTTTTCATGTTCGAAGCGAGGGGAAAAAAAACTCTCCATACCATGAACATTAATAACATAAGAATGTTAACCTTTTTTAAATTTATTTTACGCAGCTTCATTGATATATAAACCATCTGAAAAACGCCTTGTGAAAAGTCAGTCCAGCTACTGTAATTAATTTGATGACGTGCATAATAAAATGCGAATGAAGACAATATGGTACATAAATGGGTGTGTATTTAAAATATAGAAAGCCATGAACAAATTTTTACCTCTCCAGATGCATTTTCAAGCAGATTTGATGACCATCCAGCTATTTTGATCTGCTTTCTTGACAGTACTCGATCGATTGGTGCCAAGTTGTCTGCTAACTGGAAATACAGAACAAACTCAGGTTAGATATGCACCCTTCTATAAACTGATATGACAATCTCTCATTTGCACTCTACAAAAGTTGAAAGATTTTTGTAGTTTGTATAGTAGGTTTTTTTCAATGTTATTTACCTCAATTTTCCTTTTGTTTTCCTCTGCTATTTGTTCTTTGGAAAGTTTAGGTTCAACATATGTTTTATCAGTAATGACCACACCAGCGGGCCTTGCACCAGAGCCTCTGCTAACTGAAGCCAAAATTGAAAGTTAAAGTATTTTCATTTAATTTCACGTTGCTAAACATTGTGTACATAATTAGACCAATGTATGTCTATTTGTTATTTAAACACCATTTAAAATCTATTGTACAGGAAACAACCTAGATAAAAAGAATACGTAGGTAACAGGTATACATAATAGAAAAATACCGTACATAATACATTGAGGCCTACCTGTTCCGAATGACAGTTGTAGTTTTCCGTCATCAACTACAGTTTCGATGTCAGTAAATTTCAAAGATAATTCTGGAACCTTTTCACGTATTTTTTCCATGGCATCTGTTACCTGCAGTGATTTTCCACATTGTAAAATTTAAGAATTCATACCACTGTGCAAAAATGGTTATAGATTACAAAAAGCGGTGTAAATGGTTTTTCAATAAAAAGAAGTAAAATGACATATTAGTGATATTTGTTTAGATTACAGGCGGGCAAAGTGCGACCCCGACAGCAATTGTTTGCGGCCCACGAAAAAGAATTTAAAACCCTATATGTGCGGCTCACCCAGGAACATCGACTTGAAAACACCTTGTTTTTTACGGCCAAACAGCGATCATATGTATAAGGTATCATAAGTGATCAATAAAGTGATGTAAAAGCAGTGCTTGGAGGTTTTGGTGCGACCCTCGGTGTTAAATCAAAAATTCACTTTGGCCCTCCGACCGATTTTTATGCCCACCTCTGGTTTAGATTCATGCAAAATACAGCTACACAGACTGATGGCTGGCAATAGAATTTAAATTAAACATAACCCCCTAGTAGCCTAGTCGTTGTCCAATCTACATTGGAATCTCGTTTGGGCAAATATTTTACTCTCGAAGAGTCGTCATCGTTAGGCCTACAGTTACAACATATAATAGGTTATTATTATATACCTGGCGAACATATACTAGTATAGAAATATATTCTTATAATATTATATATCAGTTTAAAATCGATATTAAAGTCTTGAAGAGGATAAAATATTTCCTTAAAATATAGAATTATCATATTTATGTTCCAATATCAGTCAACACTTGATTTTTGTTTCTAAAACGCACACCAAATTATATATATATATATATATATATATATATATATATATATATATATATATATGTATATGAGTATATATAT